ATAAACCAGAAATAGTCCTTGAAAATAACACTCACAAAATGTATTTTGACAGAGCTATACTTACTGACAAAACAATACACTTTAATAGACCGGATATAACATTAATAGATAAAGCGAATAAATGTGCTCTTATTATTGACATTGCTATACCTAATTCACATAACTTACAGACAACAATTAATGATACTAGTTTTTACGGAATTTATCGCGTATATTTAACTTTTTAAATGCCCGACGTTTCGAACGCTTCACAGCACTCATGGTCACGGGCGGGACTCCCGCTCCCGCACCATGAGTGCTGTAAAGCGTTGGAAACATCGGGTGTTTAAAAAGTTAAATATACGCGATAAATTCCGTAAAAACTAGTATTATTTCAATGTGTAGTGTTCGCGTAAATATAAGAAATCATTAACAATCAATGGAAAAATTTCCAAGTACACTGAATTAAAACGTGAAATTATTAGAATGTGGAATTTTCATAACGCCATTATAGTCCCTATAGTCATCTCTACAACTGGTGTAATACCAAAAGCGCTTCATCAATAATTAAAAACTTTAGATTTACCAAAACTAACATATATTCAATTACAAAAAGCAGTTTTACTCAATACTTGTAAAATAGTTAGAAAATTTATCTCTACAGAAAACTACCCATAACCAAACAAGTTCGTGGTATCCACTTGGCTTTGTCCCGTGGTAATAACCATTAATCCAGTTTTGTTAAAAACAAACTGAGAAAACGTAGAAAATATAAATAATAATAATAATAATATACGTACTTGTGTTGAGTAGCTCAAGGGCGAGGACTTCACCCTTGAGCTACTCAAGAGCGAAGTGCTCGCCGTAAACGCGAGAAATCCGGGTTCTATTCCCGCCGAAACGAATGAAATTGTTAGTTTGATGAATTATGTTTACATTATGAAACAGAATGAAAGTTTATCAAACGTTATCTATTTTAAATAATAAATATATTTCAATTAGAACATATATTACTTACTCAATAGCGTAAAAGTGTAAAGTCGACTTCAATTTACTAAAAGAATAAAATAATTTCCACATATTAGCTTACGTTTTCTTTACACTATTCTGTCTGAGCACCAACTTCATAAGCTATTAAGTGAAAATAATTTTATTCTTTTAGTTCCAATAGTATCAAGATGATTCGTGCAACTAAGGACAACTGGCCTCGCGCTCGCCCAGACACGCACAAAGAGAGAACATTGTAGTGTGCGTCAATATTACGCCATTCCAGAGCGATCACGTAGATTTTGATTTGCGCATATTTGAATATATGCTCTTAAGATAAAAAAAATAATCTAACAATATAATCTTACATTGCTCTGAAAAATAAAAGAGCGCAACATAAAGTTAGACCACACAAACATTATTTTGTTAATACCTAATGATTTCTTATATTTACGGGTACAACACACATTGAATAAAACAACTTTAACAAATGTTATCGCTAAATTTTACGAGTAATACCCAATTACCCAAAAAGGTTTCGGATGCTTTCCAACACCCAAGGTCACGGAAAACTGAGATGATTGACGTCCCGTATGTCTCACTTAACTAAACTTAACTTGTAATAAATTAATTTTAACTTATATTATATTAAATTTAATTCTTATTACATAAAAAAAAATATTATATTTGTTAAATGGCAGCGAAACCTGGGTATGCCAGAAGAACCATAAAAGCAAGTTGAATGCAGTGGAGATGCGATCTTTTCGTAAAATGTGTGGCGTTACCATAGCCGATCGAAAGCGAAACGAAGAGATTCGCAATATGGCAGGATTGAAAGATGACCTTATCACAAAAATTGATAGGGGCGTACTCCAATGGTTTGGGCACGTTGAGCGAATGAGTGAAGACCGAATGGTGAAGAAAATATATAGAGCGAAAGTAAATATTAAAAGGTGTCGAGGTAGACCGAGACTAACTTTCGAAGACCATGTGAGCAAATTGCTCGAAGAGGGGAAGGTCAAGAGTACTCGGATACCTAGACGTGCATGTATGAAGAAGTTAATGAACCTGAAAGAAGCGAAAGAGGTATGTAAGGATCGTGACACTTGGCGATCTGTTCTCTCTGGCTACCCCGTTAGGGATTGTGCGTGAAGATAAGTAAGTAAGTAAGTACATAAAAAATAGTTACTGGTGGGCCCCAAACTAGGCATAGCCTGTATCTTCGGTACTAAGAGTACGATTATCAGTTTTACTTACGTAGTTAAAAGTACCCAAATTATACAAAACAACAAATTATTTCTTAATTTAGGAAGATAGTTTTTAACTATTTGTCGCTTTCATTATTATGTATTTTTTATTCCTAGAAAAAAATATGAATTCAATATTTTTAAAATTTTAAAACGTAGAGATTATTTGGTATTATTTTTGCTTTAATATTAAGTTTTCTTAAATAAAATCAATTTTATGGAATTTGATCTACTTAACTTTTATATCTCTACTATAATATATAATTTTTTGTTTTCATACGTTTTTACAATAGGTTTTTAATTTTATATCTAGGTTCTCTCTATAGGTTCACCAATGAATGCAAAAGTGCAACTTGGCAAAGAAACGAAATAAACTACAGTTACTTTGGCACACAATTTCTTTCCGGAAAATTGTGAACAGGATGCCAGAAATCGACCATAACGTTTACACTTATACGCCTCACATTTTTTAACTTGATACACAGTTATTGCCAGGTCGGAGGGCAAAGTCAAAAAATCTGGACATTACCTTAACTACTTTTTTCCACCTTGAGCAATTTTACCAATATTATCGTTATTTATTATTTAAATTTTCTCTTAAGTTGTACTTCTGAACGGATTTTGAATTGTTAAGAAATGTTGTAGTCTTAGACAAATGTTAATCATTAATTATAATTTTTTACAAATGTTAAGCTGTCGCATAAAAGTATTATTTTAAAATTGAATACTGCTCACTGTTGACAATTAATTTTGTTACATTATGTTTACAAAAAGCAAAAAGATAAAAAAAGTGTATTAGTTCCAATAAATGCACGTCCCTTGGAAAGTTTAGAAGTTACATTTTAAGTCGAACAGTTTCATTCGATTAAAATTAAGAGTGAAAATAAATGTTCAAACAAAAGAGCATATCATATTTTTGTTATAGAATAAGGGTAACAACGAGTACACTGGATCCTGTTGTCCGTGAAGATCTATATCTCTGTTTGATCAAGAATCAAAATGCTGATACATTGTCACCTTCTCTGAGAAGTAAGAACTGAGGACTAAAACTCTCTCAGTACTTAAATATGTATGTAAAAGATGTCTTTCCCGTACGGATTTAATGGCGAACGGTGACGTTACAAATATTTAACAAACACATAACACCCCCGCCTTAGATATTTACATTTATTAATATATTTGATGCCTGAAATAAACTGATTGTATTGTATTGTAAACTTATAACTTAATAATATAATTAATCTATACAAGAGCCGTGGTAGCTTAGATGGTTAGCGCTCGCTGTAAATTTTATAGTTCGCGAGCAACCCGAGTCCGATCCCCGCCGGCACCAATGAAATTGTTAATTGCAATTTTAAGTGCTGAATTACCACGTGCTCGGCGGTGAAGGAAATCATCGTGAGGAAACCTGCATGTCTGAGAAATAAAAATAAAATATTTCGAAAACATGTGAAGATCGCCAACACGCATTGGGGCAGCGCGTCGAACACTTCCTTGCTTTAAAACCCTCTCAGAAATGAGAGAAGGCCTGTGCCCAGCAGTGGGATACGTATATAGGCTGTAACTTTACTTTACTTTACTTTTAATCTGTACACTCAAATCGAATGACAGGTCGTCAGATTTGCCTGGGACGAGTCACTGTGGTCGACACTGGTTGCGACGATGACGGTGATTGTGAAAGAGTGTCGGGGTTTGGCACAGTCTCGATCGGGCATTGCGTAACTACTATGGCGTTATCGTTGCTACCAACCTTCTCGGTTATCTTGTCATCTTTTCCAGCAGAAACTTCCACTTCAGTTTACAGTACGCCTCTGCGAACTCATCCCATTTCGATTCTTTTTATCGACCCCATTAGTATTATCCGGCAAGGTAACATCGGATAGGCGCAACCTACGTCTTATATGATCTATGTGTCTTTTAATAGGTCGACGGTCACCATTGTCGAGAACGTATTTCCGCGAACCTGCTTTCTAGCCTACCGTATCTTTGACCTATTTGTCTCGGATGTCATTGTCCCTAGTTAAGACGGTGTCCCCCAAAGAGAAGTTACGTGGGACATCATCCGCCTTCTCGACCTGATGCTGTTGAGATTCGAGGACACGCGTTGGCACCGCGTATTCACCGCGAATTAAATCCAATCGTGAACGCAAAGAACGTTGCTGCTGTAGCATCGCTGGGCTCGCACGCGTAGTGCTTTGCTTAATATTGCGATAGCTTATTAAAAAGATTTGTATGGTGGTATCAATATCCACGTTGTCTCTATGCGCTTTCTTATTGCCCGTTTACACAGCTTAACGGCATTTTCGGCTTCCCCATTAGATGTGCCGGTATAAACCTTTGCTTTATGCCATTCATTTTATCCGGCCAAGTGTAAATGCCATCCTTACTAGTTACGTAACTGACTGACTGATTCAGTGAAAACTACACACTATGCCTTTTTAACTCCGCGTCGAGCGCTGTCGAAAACCGGTTGTTTTCTTTTACTCCGCCAATAAGTATACTTCTATCCGCGTGGCGTACTTTACGTGTTGTCGCTAAGCGCGAACGTCCGACTGCGAGTTGCATCGTGCACAGAGTAGCTTGTAATCAGAGAGCTCGATCATTATGTCGAACACTACAAACAGTACCTTTATTCATGAAGTGGAACATACACCGAGGTCACGTGAAATGAGTATAGATGGATCGCTTATTGATAAGGAGTCCCCTCCACCCTAAATTACGTTTCGTAAAGGAGTATCTAGCCAAGAGATTGATTTCTGCCATGAATTTAAATCCTTTCAAGAAAATATGCTATCCATGCTGGAGACCTGGTTTACTAAGCAAGATGACAAATTTACCAAATTGCTCAATGAGTTTGCCAGTGTGAATACATCCATTAAATATATTAGCGATAAATACGACGATCTTGAAAAATGTACGCATGATGTTAAGAGCCGAGTAGAAATAATTGAAAAGAGCGTCCAAACAAATGAAACACGTATTGCTTACTTGGAGGCGAAACTTGACTACATCGAACAGAGAGCGCGGAATTGTAATACAGAAATAAGTAATCTTCCTGAAAAACGTGGAGAGAACCTTATAACCATTGAAAATATCGCAAATGTAATAAAACAACCTGTATCTGCACGTGATATCATCTCCATCCATCGTGTCCCCCAGAGTAACCTAAATAGCTCACGGCCAAAGAATGTAATAGTCAAATTTGCCAGCCAAAATTCTAGAGACAACTTCATCTCAGCAGTACGTTTGAACAAAGGTGTCACATCTGATCAGATTAACATACAAGGTTCTCCTTAAAAAGTTTATGTAAATGAACATCTAACATTACAATCTAAGAAGTTATTTCGACAAGTTCGGGATATTGCCAAACAAAATAGATATAGGTTCGTTTGGATCAAGCACGGTGTTATACTTGCTCGAGCTGATGTTCCCACACCTGCGATTGCAATTCGCTCAGAAAAGGACATTTCGAAACTTATACCATATATCCCTAAACAATAATTACGTATATATAATTATTTTATGTGTGTTCTCTAATAGTTTTATAAGTAAAGTTATTGTGAATTACGTAGTACATTATAATAATTTCAACTCATTACTGACGTTCTGTATGTGGGCTCTGATCTGTACACTACACTGTGTGTTTACGACAAGGTATGCGTTGATCACTCATTGTTACGTACTTTTTACCATAATGATCATAATATTTGCTATCGACATATTTAATCCACAATGTTTATTTGCACATGTTTTACCAGGTAATGAAAGTTATTTTCCATATATTGTGAGTATTCAAGTGATTGGTTTTGTTGGTTATGTAAGTATTATTAATTTTCACAAGCTCATTTTATCGAACTTAATAAGTGCTGGTACTAGTGTAAATGATGTACTAAGTATAATGTCTAACGAGTTTATATTTCTATTAGTAACATGGATTAACATTCTAACTCGATACAGAGACTAGTAATTTATCAATATACTATCAAAACTGCCGAGGTGTAAGAACAAAATTAAGTACCTTATACAATAATATTTTAGCCGAATCCTATGATATCATTATTTTGACTGAAACATGGTTGGTTCCTAACACTGCTGATGAAGAATTTATTGACTCGCGGTACGTAGTACATCGTTGTGACAAAAACAGAGCGTCTTGCAGTAAATCAGACGGTGGTGGTGTTCTAGTCGCCGTGCGCCGCGGTCTGCATGCAATACGTTGTGAGTTAAGTTCTATGTTTTGTGATAACTTCCATTGTGTCATGCCTTATAATATTGAATACATATTTTTAAAGTTTTACTCTAAGTTTAACAATAAATACCACATCCTTTGCGGCTTATATGTGCCACCAAATCAGACTCTTATTACATATGAAATGTTATTTAATCCGCTTGAACATAAAATAATATGTCACACTATTGGTAATATTTACATCTATGGTGATTTTAATTTGCCAAACGTTGAATGGATTGTACACGATACGTATGCACTTATGCCAAGAGTACACAATAATAATAGCTCCTTGGATACCCTCTTGTTTAACTTTATATCATCAATGAACTGTAAACAATATAACAATATAAGAAATCACTTAGACCGTATTTTGGATTTATTAATTTCGAATGACACAATATGTATTTGTAAGCCAACTCTTAACCCTTTATTGCCGATAGATAGTTATCATCCGCCTTTTAGCACGCTAGTTTGTTTTGGATGATTAAATAAGCCCGTGGCTCGATCTTCTCAACCTAGATATCGTTTTACTGAGGCAAAGTATTCTGATATTAATAGTGATATTAATTCTGTTGACTGGGCTTCAATTTTGAATGATATTTCATTAGATTCTGCTACTCAGTGCTTCTATGAAACGATATAAAATTGTTAAAATGCCGCAGCGATCTATAAAATCCAATGATTATCCTATATGGTTTTCCCGCCCTTTAATACATACTTTTAAAAATAAAGAAAAGGCGTGGATTAAATGGAAAAAAATATCATAACATAACTGACTACGAACAATTTTCATTGTATCGCAAAAGGTTTAAGGCGCTATCGGCCGAATGTTTTGATAAGCACCTGCAGTCTGTTGAGGATGGAATAAAAAAGACATAAAACAATTGTGGTCCTTTATAAATAGTCGCAAAAAAAGCAGGTATACCTAATACAATTTACAGTAACGAAGAGTCCAGCGGTCTGTGGCCAGCGGATGTGTGTAAATTGTTTTCAAGGTTTTTTATTTCAGTGTACGAAAATAGTAAATACATAAATCAGTCTAATGATGTCGTAATTAGCTCTAACTCAAATAGTCAAGTAACTATATGTGACTTAACATTCTCAAAAGATGAGATAACTAAGATTCTTAAAGCCTTGGACGTGACAAAGGGATCTGGACCAGATGGTATCTCGCCCTTTTTTCTAAAATATACTGCCGAATCCATTAGTACACCATTGTTTATTTTATTTAATCGCAGTTTGAGGGAGGGAGTAGTGCCGCAGGCATGGAAATCGGCAAACATTACACCTGTGTATAAAAAATAGCCAAAAAATTACATCACCAACTATCGTCCAATATCTATTTTGTCCACGTTGTCAAAAGTGGAAAGATTGGTCCACAATGTTGTCTATCCATATCTGCATAGTTTTATTATTCCTGAACAACATGGTTTTGTCCAAAATCGCTCCACGGTAAGTAATTTGGCTTTATACGCTAACTTCTTATTTGAAAATATGGATAACCGACTCCAAGTTGACACCATTTACAATGACTTCTGTAAAGCTTTTGACAAGGTGGACCATACTATACTACTACAAAAAATCGCATTTAATGGTATACGTGGGAATTTGTTACGCTGGTTTGCTTCTTATGTAAAAAATAGAACCCAAAAGGTTGTGGTCAATGGCTTTTCTTCAGATGTGATAGATGTGACATCTGGTGTACCGCAGGGATCAATTTTGGGGCCGTTGCTTTTCGTTCTCTTCAAAAATGATATTAGTACCTGCTTCAAAAACACCCATTTTCTCTTGTATGCTGACGACCTAAAAAATTTTCGGAAAATAAACACAACTGAAGATTGTTATAAATTGCAAAGTTACCTGAATCGTTTGTCTGCTTATTGTGCTGCTAATAATTTACAGCTAAGCAAGTAAGTAAATCTACCACATTTACTAAAAATATTAATGTCATCCATTTCTCATACTCTCTTTGTAACACTCCTTTACAAAAAGTCTCCAGAATAAAAGACCTGGGAATACTATTTGACTCGAAGCTACTCATATTAGTCACATTACGGCTAAAGGCTTTCAGCTTAGTGCTTTCGTAAGAAGGACCTGTAATCTGTTTAAAAGGCCTGGGACGTATTTATTACTATAAAAGTCACTCATTAGGTCACAACTCGAATACGCTACTTGTGGTTGGAACCCTTATTATGAAAAATATAGTGATCAGCTGAAATTGGTACAACGTAAATATCTTCGGTTTTTAAACTATAAATGCTTTAGGAAATGGTCATCGTATCTTACTCATTTAGATAAATTCTTAATTCCCACTCTAAAAATGAGAAGATTATATTTTGATCAGTTATTCTTATACAAAATCTGTCATAATAAATTAGATTGTAATCAACTCATAAACAAATGTATCTACGCATACCTAGTCGGTCCCAACGCATTCGTTATACGTATAATCATCGTTTATTTGCTCCTAAGATATGCCGAATAAATGCGGGAGAGAGAGCTCCACTACGGCGTATCATGATATCATATAATGATAACTTTACTGATCTTGACATATTTGCTTTATCATTTGTAATGTTCAAAAAGTGTATTTAAAAAAAATTACTACTAAGTAAGGTATTGCCTTAAGGTTTAAACAGTTTATTAATGATTCAACTGTTGTTTCTCGAGGCAAGTTTTGGCTAGCATAGCCACTACAGTGGTTGTGTTGGCTGGGATCTGCTCAGGGAACGCTCGAATTATTCATCTTTTGTGGTATCATACAACATGTTTGCTGTGCATTATTATATTACTTTTATTGTGATATTACTTTGTGGATAACGGTGCTGGTTGTGTAATTATTTGTATTTCCCTTTTTTATAAGACCTGTATTTTGTATTATATTTTATTACACAATTGTTTGTTGTCCTGAAGAAAATAAAATAAAAAATAAAACTTGAAGTCCGTACAACTACATTAGTCAAATACTTTATGCAATTTAGCAATATGTTCCTCTGTGTTATGACTTGTAATAATTATATCGTCAAAAATACGTCTACATACGGCAGATTAAATAACTGCTCTAAATGTGTTTGAAAAACCTAAGCGGTAATAGCTAAACAAACTCTTGTGTGTGTTGATCACCATATATTTGGTGGATTTGTGAACTACAAATTGTGCATAAGCCTAATGATCAATTTAACTGAACCACTGCGCCCCTTGTAAACGCACCAATAAGTCATCTACTCTAGGCAAAGTATAACGGTCGACTTCTATAACTTTACTTAACGTTAACTTATAAACGGCGCAAATCATAATGTTTCCCTCTTTTTTACTACGGGCACAATGGGGTCGCCCAGTCGGCCAAAAACCAAAAAGTTTTTCGTGCGTTCATGGACCTGGATAGGGCTTATGACAGAGTGGGCAGTAATGTGCCATAGCAAACACTAAACTCATTTGGGTTGAGCGCTGGATCGATACAGGTCTTAAGGTCTCTTTATATTCTAAGTATTTTTAATCTAAGTATTCTTTATACTCTAGTGCTTGCGTTGGGATCAACGGGGTCTACTCGGACTGGTTTGGTATCCGTAAACCTTTACGGATACCAAACCAGTCCGAGTAGGAGCTTGCTTAGTTAGCAGGGGCCATAGCTAAACTAAGGTCACATCTTTTGCAATGGATTGCAGGATATTCTTGCTTTTGTTTTCTTTAATGTGAACACATTTCAAGATTTATTTTAGAATGTTACTATGATATGATATCAAACGAACTTTTTGAAGTGAAGTTCAATCATTATTATATGAGTCGTTTCATTCGAAGATACAATTAAATTAGGTAGTCCCGTAGAATCGATTTATTTTAATCGATTTTTTTTGTTGGCAACTCCCACTCTCCGTTTACCCACCGGTTCGATAGCCACTTCATTCTTTTTAGAGATATTTGTTTAAGTTTTTTTTTTTACCTTTGTATCTTCGAATGAAGCGACTCATATTATAATAATGATCGAACTTCACTTCAAGAAGTTCGTTTGATATTATATTATATTTCGTCGCTTCATTCTTCAGATACAATAAACTAAGGTAGATGT